GCGAGCGGCCGAGACAGTTAATCGCTCGAGCCGCTTGAACCGGTCGCTCGGTTTTCCTCTTCTGGTCGTTCTGTTTAATACAAAAAATTGAAAAAGAAAATTGAAAATTGAAAACGAAAGGCAAAATCGTGGGGCTGGGAAAGAAACCCTAACTCTAATTCAGTTTTCGTCTTCGACTCCTCGTGAACAGAGGGAGAAGAGTGGCGCCAAACCCTGCCACCCTCAACACTTCCGTCCTGGCTTCCCATCGGCATCGTCGCCATCGCCAGTCTACGTCCCCATCCCCTCTTCCCGTAGCAACTCCTCTGCTCCGTCATCACTTCCCTTCTCGACGTTTCCCGTCGCCATCCCCAGTCCCCGTAGCCGCTCCCCGCTCCTCGCTCGCATGTTTTGGAATTGTTAAGAGTTAAGAGTGTCATTTACTAATTTAGTCATGGTTTACCATGATTAAGAAGTGTCCACGATTTATACTGCTTTTCTAATGGTTTTTAAACGGTTTAGTGCTGGTTAAACCGCTAAAGACCGATCCGTTCACATTATCGGGTCATACTCCGGTTCGCTTTTGTCAACATTGTTTTTCTTGCATCTGTTGTGGACTCGTGAGATCGGTCTTTAGGCCACAGACATAGAACATCTCCTGCACCACAAGAGGCATTTGGTATATTTTCAATTTTATCGTTTTCTTGCAAAGAACATGTAGCCTCTTATTATTTCCCAATTTGACAATACTAACATATTGTCAATACTAGATAACCTCTCTTGTCGCCTCTCATATGGTTGTTGCAACCCGATTCCGAAAACCACCAATTTGTAATATTCTCATTATATTAAAGCTTTCAAGGTTTGTGTCTCTTCAATTTTGAATTCAACACATGCTATGAGTATCTAACCCTCTTTCATATCACCATCTCCAACGCCATAACTTGCTTCGCATGCTAAACCCTCATTTTTTAAATGACTAAACTTGTGACGCTTATAACATTCAATATCTTCTTTAACCAAAATTTCATGTCGTTTTCCATGACCAGATTAACCTCTACGACCCTGAACTTTGCCTCTACCAACTTCATATCCAACTTTCAGTGTCTCATCCTCGTCAATAGAGACTTTTTGGTGATAAAGTATTTAAATCCTTAGAATCCTCAATTGAGTATAGTATATAATTAAATATCTCAATGAGGGTCTTAAGAAACTTGTCTACGATCTTCTTGCTAGTTATCACTTCACCACGATTTCGATTGCATTGGAAACAATCATAAATCTAGTAATATAGTCATGGGTAATCTCACCTTGCTTCATTTCCAGGACTTCAAAGTCCCTCTTGATGTTCCGAAGATGAGCTTTCTTGACATCAACATCACTTTGGCACTTCTTCTTCACTGAATCCCGTAACTTTTTACCAATACTTTTCTTGATAATGGTACTCATAATATCTTTGACAATGTTCTTATACGCATATAATTCTTTTCTAAGATATCTTTGATTCATAAATCTTCCAAAACTTTTCAATCAGTAGCATAGAGTTCAACTACAGGGCCTGGTTCCTGGAATCCATCAACAAGAACTAACTGAAACTTGGTTGATCTCAACAAATTATCCATAAGGAGACTTCAATAATCATAATTAGCATCAAACTTTGACAGTTTTATTTGAGTAAGACCAAATTCACTCATGATCACTAAACTCACGCACACAATTGCCTTGGTATTTCCTCACTAGTCTCTCGTATTTATACTTAATACTCAATCTTAGGCAAAACTCATTACAAAATTGCTCATATTTTCCTACCCACAATCTCGCACAAAAAAATTGGAATTTGCAAAGGCTATACCATAATGGTAATAGTACTAGCCAAACAAACTTCATGATTTATTAAATACATCAAGCTCTAATCAATAACAGCTGAAAATCAGCTTCCACTCTTTGTTTTGCTTGACTCTTTAAACACATTATATGAACTTACAAACTAACATTTTAAACTAGCAAATACACACAACAACCATAAAATGGACCGTACTCAACCAACACATGATTTGGGCTTATTATTGACTCAATTCACAAGAGAGGTTCGACCAAATACCAATTCCTGATCCATCACACGTCATGATCCAACATACTATCCATAATATTTGAATTTGATTTTATTCAAATTTATTATAAATCCATATTATTCAACTGGCTGGATTTATATCATTGGTGAAAATTGGTGTGGGTGTGGTTACCACCTATATTTTGTGGCTAATCACAATCACAAAGTCATGATTGTGCTAACCACAAATCACACCACAACGATTAGTGGTTGTCCACTACTCATTGAGAGTTGGTGCGGTTTGGTTGTGGTTACCCGCAAAATATAATTTTTCAAGACTTAAAGTGTTGCAGCCTCCACTAACAAATATTTATTCTCCACTGTAGACATATATTGTTGTGTTGTTTGTGAAGAAGAAAATTATTTGGTATATGAATTTGTCGTTGAAGAGAAAAAGAGGCGAAGTCTTTGATTTACATAATGCAAATTAATCTCACATGGCACACGCTATAAATTTTCACCATGACAATGAGTTATCTTAGCCTTTTACGAAATTTAGTCTTACTTAGTTCTTACATTAGAAAATATTAATAATAAATATATTGAAATTAAAGGTGAAACAAAATTTTGTTAACCTAATGTAGTTATAGTGGGTTTTGTGGGTTGATGTTGTGGTTAGTAGTAGATCAAACAAAAGTTTTAGTCTATGTGGTTATAGTGAGTTTCATTGGTTAACTGTTGTGGTTAGTTGTTAATCACTAACCACATAAGTCATTATTTTACTTACCACACTCAATTCACTACACATAATTTGTGAGTATGGTTCACTACAATGTGTGCTAGTTGGTGCGATTTATGTGTTATCCACAAATCGCAAACCAAACTTCCACTCCTAATCTCACCCATGGAAAGCCGAATTTGATGCATGGATATCTCACACAGTAGTGGCGGACCCAGAAATTTTACATAGGGTTGTCCTCTTTCAAAAAATAAATTAAAATAAACATAATAATTAATAACAATTAAATAAATATTAACTAAAATTATACCCAACTCTTACAAGTGAAAAAAAGTCCATGATGTATTTTTCGTATTCTGAAACAATTGTAAAATACACTTGGTGTCTACACTGCTCAACAAGTAGTCTTGCTATATCCTACTAGACAATCATTCATGAACAGACGCATATTCGACTTTTAAATTTGTTCTTGATGTAACTCAAAGCTGAAAAGACACTTTTAACACTTGTCGTACAACCATAAAATAAATACAAATTAAGGATAGCTTGGAATTAGATTAGTTGTTAGGTTTTGAATATAATTATAGATAGAGAATAGGGTTTTGCTATTACATACAGGGGTGGAGCTACAGTTGGTCTGGGGTGGCCGAGAATCGTGAAAGTTACGTCTAAACTACTTCGATATTTTGAAAATTTCGTAAAAACTAAAAAAGTTCTAATAAGTTTAGTGTGCAAATTTGAAAAAGCAAAGTAGGCTTAGTCAAGTGGGGACAAAGTGAGTTATGACTCAACTGGTTGAGGGTTTGATACCCAGCCTTTGCGATTTTGTTACTTTTTATTTGCTTCTATTTTAATATATCTACATAATTACTCTTTTAAATCTTGACTCATTTAATTAGATATAATTACTCTTTCAAGTTTCATGTTATGGTTTCTTCATTTCATTATTTCAATATTGTCTATTGACTCAATTAATTTCAAGTTTAGTTTTTTTTTTTACCACTTTGCAATTTTATATCACTGAAAAATTATCCATTTTGACCTTTCATAAGTTAGTCTACATCAATATTTTGACTCTAATCACCTAAAATGATTAATCATAATACTATTAAAAGTAAAATTTACTTTGATTGTCTTGCTTAGTTTTTAATTTTTTTATCACCTTTTCGCGGTAAGAGTATTAAATAATTTTCGGCCCCCGAACGTCAAATCCTAGCTCTACCCCTGATTACATAGTGATTAGAATAGAACAACAAAAAGTTGTAGCCTAATGGAAATTATATTTATTAATAATAGTAGTGTCTCGGGTTTGAATTAGCCAAACTACCACTTATATTCCCATATGCAAACTACAAATGAGAATAGGATAATATTTTTTCAAATTTCAGAGTGTCCCGAACTATTAATTATAATTTTTTTATCCATACATAAATTACCGCCGGGAGTTGGATAATCATTTTTCCATAATTTAGGGGTGTACCCGGACACCCCAAATGGCCCTGGGTCCGCCCCTATCGCCCAGTTCGACTGTACCTAGTGAGAGGGAGGACAAATGGGTCAAAATTGGAACCTAAAATAGAAGTGCCCCGAGCAAGGTATTCAAACCAGTTTAAACCTTTGAGCCAGTGAAGCAAATAATTTAAGATTTCTTGATCGGATTGGGTTTGATGTCATTTTATATGGGCTTAATTGCAAGTTTGGTCACTCGAATTGCTATAAAATTTCACGTTTTCCACTCAAATTAATTTATTCCATTTATAGTCACTCGAATTAGTTGAACAGTTCAAGTTCGGTCACTCTCCGTTAACCTCCGTTAACTTTGACTGACGTGGCGGTCAACTCTGACAGTTGACCGTTAAATGTGTGACGTGACAAATAAAAAATAATTAAAAAATAATTTTTTAGAAATTACACGTCATTATCACAAAAAAAATTATAATTGTAAAAAATGAAAAAAAAATTATTGATTTAAAATGAACAAAGGGGATGTAATTTGGCACGTAACGGTAATACACTGTACTTTAACAATTAACAGTAAACGGTCAATCCGGTCATATCACTGATTTTTTTTAGTTTTGCCCGGCTACTGGGTTGAAAGCAAAATGACTACTGAAGGCCATTTTGAACTGACTCGGGTCGGACCAGGTCCAATCGATCGGCTGGACCAGGGCTTGACAACACTGGTCACTGGCCACGAGTCCAAGTTGGTGGGCCCCGCTATTCGTATTTCTCTCTCACGCACTCCAACGAGAAACCGGTGAAGAAACCGACGACACGGAAACCCTCCTTTCCTTCCCCCTTTTCATTCCTTCCTTCGCCCCCATTTCCCTCTCTTCTCCTCTCTCTGTCTCGGCTTCCCACTCGCCCAGCAAGCCAGCAACAATGGTGTCCGACTCGGAGCTCATCGGCAGGCTGCGGGAGTTCCTCAAGAATTCGGACCTCGAGACGACCACCAACACCATCGTCCGCCGGAAACTGGAGGAAGACTTCGGGGTGAATTTGTCTGATAAGAAGGGTTTCATCAGAGAACAGGTCGACTTGTTCCTCCAATCCCAGTTCGAGGAACAGGCGGCCGAGGTTGTAGGCGACAATGGATACGAAGAAGAAGGAAGCGCCGCCGATGATCGGGAATCGAGGGTACAAGACGGCGATGAAGTGGAAGAAGACGAGGAGGAGGAAGAAGAAACAGTAGGAAGATCGAGTAAACGGAAGACTCGTGCCAAAGGCAGGTTTGTTCAGGACTAATTCCTTTTTTCGATGAATTCACTGATTCCATTTCTCTTCCTTGCTTGCATTATTAGGTTGCTGGAAAAACTTGTTTCCATGGCGGTGTTGTTAATTCGGTTTATTGATTTTTAGGTCATATTTTGAATTACTACGTACTCTCAATGGCGGGGTTGTGGGCTGATCTCAAATTTGTGTGCTTACATGAAGTTGTGGATAATTGTGGCTTTGAATAGTTGAAAGGGGAACACTTTTTTTGCTGGCGTGCAAATTAAAGGTTTTGCTTGGAGGATTGATTATGTCCATTGCCTACATTGGGTGGTTTTATTCACGTGGCCACATTTTGTGTTGTTCTTTGCTTTCATTATTGGTAAACTGCAGCTGGGTTTCTGTTAATGTGGCTTATAATAGGTTTGCTTTTCCTTTATTTTGCAAATAGTAGGATTGCATTGCAGTCTTCTGTTGAGAAACATTGAGTATAGCTATTTGCATTTGGAACAGGTTCTGTTAAATTCGGCCGGTTTCTGCTGCAAAACTTAAACGAGAAAGCTTATGGAGAAACCTTCTGCTAATTCGTTTCCCGCTTTTCTCTATTACTGGCATCTGGCTTGCTTCTTTGTTTCTACTTTTAGTCCATCTGGTCAACAGTTAAGTACCTGTACAATGGGGAAAAGCTCACAGAACGAATTTCTCTGTATCAATAGTATATGCATGGAGCTAGGCTGCATTTTGTTAAGATTGACTTCTGAGGTCATGATTATTAATTCAAGCAGATGCATTTGGAAAGTGTATATCGCTCTTCTTATGATCTTATTTTGATGAAAACAGGTCCAGAAAGCAACCTGAAGAAGGCAAAAAGAGTGCTGGGGGTGGTTTTACCAAATTGTGTCGACTGTCTCCTCAACTTGAGGAGTTTCTTGGAGCTCCTGAAATGGCTAGAACAGAGGTATGCACGCTGCAAAAAACTTTGAAACAGATGCCTTTTAAATTTTGCCATCACCAAGTTCATGTGATTGAATTATGGAAGAGTTCTCAGCTCTCTTACTCTTTTCGCTAAAGGTGGTCAAACAATTATGGGTTTACATCAAAGAGAAAGAGTTACAAGACCCGAGTAATAAGAGAAACATACTATGTGATGAACCATTGCGTACAATTTTTTGTGTCGACTCAATCAACATGTTTGAAATGAACAAAGCCCTCACGAAGCACATTTGGCCATTGGATTCATATGATGGTAATGCTTTGAGTCATCTCTTTGTCACTATTAACTCAATTCTGATTAATTGCTTACCGAATCTCTGGTTCAACGCATTCAAATTGTTCTTAATAAATCTCTCTTTGTTTTTTCTTTCTTTTTTTGCTCTCGTCATTAAACAGTAATTCCAGTCAACACAGCTATACAGAAGGAAAAGATAAATCAGCAAGAGAATGAAGAAGGTACATATTGGCAGGTCACTTTTCATTTGAATGATACTAGTGAAGCAGATGATGAAAATAAAATGTTGAATCGATGAGATTATCAAATCCGTCACCCATGCCAATTTGAACAACCTACTCGTATGTGTCGGGTTTTTCAAACCAAGACCTCCTTATGTCTATTTGGTCCTGATATATTTACCTTGTTAAAGACAATTCAGTTCACTAACCATTAACAACAACACCCTCCTAAATTCTGACATCCAACGACAAAATCGTGGAATCCAATAGTGTCGTAATTCATTGCTTTGCAAATCCAACATTTGATGGATCTCTAAATTGTAATTATCTGTCATTAGTAGTCTTTCCTGGCACGATGAAATTCTTATTAGCCTTTGCTTGACCCTGTGTTAGAACCAGATGATCCAGGATGGAAAGAGAAGCGGCAGAAAGGCGGAACCAAAGGATATATGGCCCCTCTTCAGCTTTCGGACCTCGAGACCACCACAAACACCATCGTTCACCAAAAATTGGAGGAAGACTTCCCGGTGAATTTGACTGATAAAAAGGGTTTCATTAGAGAACAGGTCGACTTGTTCCTCCAATCCCAGTTCGAGGAACAGGCGGCCGAGGTTGCAGGCGACAATGAATACGAAGAAGAAGAAGAAGAAGGAAGCGCCGCCAATGATCGGGAATCGGGGGTAAAAGGCGGCAATGAATTGGAAGAAGACAAGGAGGAGGAGGAAGAAACAGTAGGAAGATCGAGTAAACGGAAGACTCGAGCCAAAGGCAGGTTTGTTCAAGATTAATTTATTTTTCGATGAATTTGCTGATTCCATTTCTCTTCCTTGCTTGCATTATTAGGTTGCTGGAAAAACTTGCTTCCATGGCGGTGTTGTTAATTGGGTTTATTTATTTTTAGGTCACATTTTGAATTACTACGTACTCTCAAGTCTCAATGGTGATCAGCATTGACCAATGAGTAGATATGAACCTCTAGGGTTGTGGGCTGATCTCAAATTAGAGTGTTTACATGAAGTTCTAGATAATTGTGGCTTTGAATAGTTGAAAGGGGAACACATTTTTTGCTGGCGTGCAAATTAAGGTTTTGTTTGGAGGATTGATTATGTCCATTTCCTACATTGGGTGATTTGCTTCACGTGGCCACATTTTGTGTTGTTCTTTGCTTTCATTATTGGTAGCTGCTACTGGGTTTCAGTTTATGTGGCTTATGATAGGTTTGCTTTTCCTTTATTTTGCAAATAGTAGGAATGCAGTGCAGTCTTCTGTTGAGAAACATTGAGTATATCTGTTTGCATTTGGACCAGGTCCTGTTAAATTCGGTCGGTTTCTGCTGCAAAACTTAAACGAGAATGCTTATGGAGAAACCTTCTGCTAATTCGTTTCCCACTTTTCTCTATTACTCATTCATCCTACTCTGTTACTTGGGCATACGGCTTGCTTCTTTGTCTCTGCTCTTCTTGCACGAAAACGGGCAAGTAACAGTCGGACCATGAGCAATGTTGTAATGGTCAGCCACAAATTGCATATTTGGATATCTAACGGCAAGATAGACAACCCTTTTTGAACAAATTTACCCTTAAGAGAAGGAAAAATCAATACGGTTAGCTTGGACTTTACTTTATTGAGTTTAGTAATGCAGGTTGTTAGTTACTGGCGAATGAAACTGTTTTGTCATCCTTTTTAGCAAAACTGTTTCATTCTATAGTGAATCTCTTGTTCTAAAGTAACGTCCACCATCCGGAGAGGATTTCTTTTTAGTCCGTATGGTAAACTGTTAAGTACTAGTACAATGGGTAAACTGTCTGTATGGTAAACTGTTAAGTACTAGTCCATAACGAATTTCTCCGTATCAATAGTATATGCATGGAGCTAACTGCATTTTGTTAAGATTGACTTGTGAGATCATGATTATTAATTCGTGCAGTTGCTGAACTTTAGATGCATTTGGGAAGCGTATATTGCTGTTCTTTTGATCTTATTTTGATGAAAACAGGTCCAGAAAGCAACCTGGAGAAGGCAAAAAGAGCGGTGGGGGTAGTTTTACCAAATTGTGTCTCCTGTCTCCTCAACTTGAGGAGTTTCTTGGAGCTCTTGAAATGGCTAGAACAGAGGTATGCACGCTGCAAAAAACTTTGAAAAAGATGCCTTTTGAAATTTGCCATCACCAAGTTCATGTTATTGAATTATGGAAGAGTTCTCAGCTCTCTTACTCTTTTCACCAAAGGTGGTCAAACAATTATGGGTTTACATCAAAGAGAAAGAGTTGCAAGACCCGAGTAATAAGAGAAACATACTATGTGATGAACCATTGCGTACAATTTTTTGTGTCGACTCAATCAACATGTTTGAAATGAACAAAGCCCTCACGAAGCATATTTGGCCATTGGATTCAGATGATGGTAATGCTTCGACTCCTCTCTTTGTCATTATTAACTCAATTCTTATTAATTGCTTACCGATTCTCTGGTTCAACGCATTCAAATTGTTCTCAGAGCATCTCTCTTTATTTTTTTCTTTCTTTTTTGTTCTCGTCATTATATAGTAATTCCAGCCAAGACAGCTACACAGAAGGAAAAGCAAAAGCAGCAAGAGAGTGAAGAAGGTACAGATTGGCAGATCACTTTTCATTTGAATGATACTAGTGAAGCAGATGATGAAAAGAAAATGTTGAACAACCTCTCATACGTGTCGGGTTTTTTAAACCAAGACCTCCTTATGTCTATTTGGTCCCTGATATATTTACCTTGTTAAAGACAATTCAGTTCACAAACCATTTACAACAACACCCTCCTAAATTCTGACTTCCAAACGACAAATTCATGGAATCCAATAGTGTCGTAATTCATTGCTTTGCAAATCCTAATTTGAAGGATCCCTAAATTGTAATTATCTGTCATTAGTGGTCTTTCCTGGCACGATGAAATTCTTATTAGCCTTTGTTTGACCCTGTGCTAGAACCAGATGATCCAGGAAGGAAAGAGAAGCGGCAGAAAAGCGGAACCAAAGGATTTATGGCCCCTCTCCAGCTTTCGGATCCCTAGTAAAGTTCCTTGGCACCGGTCAACATGCAATGTCTCGATCCGAGGTCATCAAGAGAATGTGGGACTACATAAAGCAGAACAAACCTTCAGGTATGTTGTTACCTTGGTGGAAGCTGGGAAAAACTGTTTATTCAATTCATATTTCATCACTGAAATCTCGTCACAACACTTGAAAGGATACAAAAACCGGATCAGAATTTATGCTTTGTACTCTGCTTTGTGTGTAGGATCCATCCGATAAGAGGAAAATCATATGCGACGAGAAGCTGAGAGAACTGTTTGATGTTGATTCCTTCGTCGGCTTCACAGTTACGAAACTTCTATCAGCGCATTTCGTGAAGAGCTGACACGAACAATGGCTCTCTGTTCATCTCGCCGAGGTTTTGATCAGAGGACACGACGAGTGCGTTCCTGTTTTTTTGAATGGTGGGTCTGACTTGTGATGGTCCCTCAGAAGAAGAATGAAGGGAGGAAGGAAGGGTTGGTGGCCTAAATTCACCGCTGCCAGATCGCCAAGAGAGAGCCGGCTCTTTTGCTTTCCACCCTTCTTAGTTCTCATTCTGTAGTTTCTTCTTCGCTCTCACGTTTCTTGCTGTACATTTTCCTAGTCCACTTCCCCAGAAAACCACGGGGCAAATAGGAGATCGACTGCTTTTTCGTCTTCCTTCTGTAGGTGTAATGACAGACAGACAGTCGTCCCTTTTTAACACAGTGCAAGTTTTCTTTGAAGTTGGCCAGCTCTTCCTTTTACCTTGACCTGCCATGTTTACTATTGGTAATATTACAAGCTTGGAGATCATTAGAAAGCACAGAGCAAAACTGAGAACGAACAAGAACTGAACGATTCTTCTTACTACTCGCCAATACTCCAAACCCATTTGTTTGAGTTTTAAAATGACAGAAATTGAGTAGAAAAGGTATAATTCCATTGCCGGGAATCGAACCCGGGTCTCCTGGGTGAAAGCCAGATATCCTAACCGCTGGACGACAATGGAATTGATGTAAATTTATGTGACAATTAAATATTTATTACGAAATAAAAGCTGCAAAGGTATGACTAAGAGGAACATTCGTACTTAATTCGTTGATGCATATTTTGCCATCAGATTGCACGAGGTTACTGGTGCGAGCTTGCGGCATATTAGTGCAAAACTGCAAACACCACCAAGGAAATGAGTGATTCCTTCGAGGATTGGAATGTATATGGACTGTGGCAGTTAGGCCCATCAAAGAACAGCCTGAGTGGGCTACTTTAAGATAAGTTGGACTCCTTTGAGCGGATGCGCAACAAATTATCTTTGAGCCACGTCGAACGAAGGTGCGTGTTGTGAAGCTCTATTTTCAAGAAGGATTTTTTTTATATATATTTGTAGTTATTTATAGTTGTATTTGTGGAATTCTTTAGAGGAATCGTCATAATAGTAATTATAACATACCTTAGATTCTCAGAACATCAATACTCTAGTACAGACATAATATTTTTTTTTTAGTTCCAAATTCAGTTCAGACATAATACTAAGAAGTGTGAATCGAGTCACAATCTTGTTGATTTTAAAAAAAACAACATTAGAAGCTCAATCAAATTGACATTGTGAAGTTTCCATCAGCAAAAACAAAAACTTGTCTAAAACAAATTTACAACCTATCTATCCATATCCTCGAGTAATTTGATCTTCACATTTACAAGTTGTTCTTCTGAAGGGTTAAAGGTCGTCCTAGAAATTACTAATCATCGTCCTAACTTAATACGTAAATTACTTAACTACCCTTTTTAAAATTAAAAACCTAACCCTACCCAAACACTCCCCTTCCTCTACCTTCCCGCCGCCCAAACACTTCCTCCCTTCCTCCACCTTCCGTCCCCAGCCGAGCAGAGAGGCCGCCGCCGGCGACCTTCCAGCAGCAGAGGGGCCGCCGCCCCACGGCCCACGCCAGCGACACGCCGCCCAACGCCGGCCGACCTTACAGTCCCCGTCCCGTCGCCGTCAGCCCCAAGTCGCCGTCTGTCTCGTCGTCCGCCGCGCTCCACTCGCCGTCAGTCCTCGTCGTCCGCCGCGCCTCCACTCGCCGTCGGCGTCTGTCCTCGTCGTCCGCCGTCCTCCATTCCAGTCGCCTGTTGCCGGAGAAGAAGGTAAGTCGTCTTCTACCTCGCCCTTCACAGACCGAAGCCACCGTTCGGTTGGCCCTCGGTCAAACTGAGGTCAACGTTCGGTTGGCCTTCGGTCAAACCTCAGTCAATATTCGGTTGAGCCATGGTCAAACCGAAGTCAACATTCGGTTGAGCCATGGTCAAACCGAAGTCAATTTTCGGTTGGTTATTTTTTTAAATAATTTTAATGCAATTAATTAATAAAAATTGTTATTAAATATTGTAAATTAAGTAATAATTAGAAATAATGGTAGTTAATTATAAATAAGTTGTACGGTTTATAATTTATTATAAAAATTAAATTCGAATAGTTTTATGAATTCAATTATGAAAAAATATTATGAATAATGTAATAAAAATTATCTGAAATTATCTGAAATTTTTAAAAAGTATCCAAATTTAGAAATATAATCTGTAAATTCGTAATTAATGTTAAAAATATTAGAATAATGGGAAAATTAAAAAATAGTCGAAATTTAGAAAAAAGACTAAGAAAGTTGTAATTAATGTTAATAAATTATAAAAAATTACAAAAAAATTAGAGAAAATTATCATAAAATGTTAATGCATTTGATTATCATTAATTGTAATTCTTTTGTTTTTTTAGATGTCTGGACATGGAATAGGCAAATCGTACATGAATAAGAAAAGAATGGAAGAAAAAACGGAAGGAAGAATGGAAGGTCGTGCTTGTAGACTTACAGCGACCGGTAGAAAAGAAAATGAAGACATAAATGAAAATTTATTAAGAGACTAACCGTGTCGATTGCACCTGTTGCTGATTGAAGCCACTTCTTGAAGGATGAATGAGCAGATTCAACCCGATTTGAGCTTGTATTACCCAAATGTCGCACTTGGTTTGTATAACATGTTGCCCACATACATATGCTTGTTTGGGAACCACTCATGTGACAAGTACCCCCAAAGACGTGGATACTGTACTCCCCAACTACGCCTGAAACTGTCTAAAGCTCTATTCATGCCTTCCTCACTGTCGGCATATACAATATTTTTCCAAGACGCCATGATCAGATCCACTGTCGGTTGGGCTGCATCTATCCCACAATGAGACGTCCTCCTCACCTCCGTTAGACACCGTGCTCTCACATTCCTGTCTACATGCCAAAGGCATAGTATATGAGTCAATGATGGAAACATTACCCCCACGGCCTCAACCAATCCTCCTGCTTTGTCACTAACAAATACATCTGGAGTGATAGAGCCAAGCAAATGTTGCAGATGCGTGAGAAGCCACAGGTACGACTCTTTTGTCTCGTCATACACTAGCGCAGATGCAATGACAAAGTTCAATCCCACCGGTGTCATGCCAACAATCTCAACCCATGGAAACTCATACTTGTTGGTCTTGTATGTTGCATCTATCACAATGACATGGTGCCAAGCTCGCAACATCAATATTGACTCTGGGTGGGCTAGGAACAAGTGTGTAAGCACGTTACGGTCATCCACATACTGCACATAGTAACCCTTCTCCCGAGCATCTTGAAAAGTGTACTGTAATGCCGTCCTCTGACCAAGCTCTTCTTTTCTTATCTTATACAATGCGTTAGAAATCTGTCTTTTGTTCACCTTTCCATGCTCATCTTTTCTCTCGTTCACTGCCTTGTGGATATTCCTTGGGGCGACACCGGCTAATCTCAGTTGTCTGATGTATTGCTTATCATCTTCGGTCAAAACATTCCTCTTACTTGATCCATTCGGAAATAGCTCCAGCGGATGATTGTGAAAACCCAAATTAGCACCAGGATTCTTTGTATTAGCCACTGCTAGTATCAACCAATATCCATCCTCTGACCGCTCAATCTTGATCTGAAATTCACACCCCAACTTTCCAGAAGAAGTAAGTGGCCTCCTTTCCTTAGCCGGATCAGAATCAGGAGCCTTCGATTTTTTCTTCCTACCATGAGTGCACTTCAAGTATCGTCGCCTACTATCTTCATTTGGATTTTTTTTATTTGATGCCTTCACCAAATAAAACCCAAAACCCTTGGCAATCTCAGTAGCTGCTGCATATGCAATCAAATCCGTATCGTATTTTACTCCATTGACGAATTTTGAGGTGTAATCTTTGCCATCCCCTCCGTAATCATCAATATCCTACAATGTTAGATCGCATGATATAAGTAGGACTCCACAATAATAGAAAATCTAACGACTACATTTAATTTAACAATTATCACAAATAATTTAGCATTCTGAATATTCTCCTAAGCAAAATCCAACATTTAACATGACAAAATTTAGCATTCTCTATTATTTACATAAGAATCATATTAATCACATTCTAGAATTTTTTTATTGCGTATTATACATCTAATCTTAATTTTGTATACAAAAACATTCAATTTCACAAATAATTAGGCTCATAAATTTTAAAAATAATATAAACTAAAATTCAACAAACAATCATATAGACCAAACTATAAATCATAACAAAAAATAGAAATATTTGATATAAACTTAAAAAAACCCAAAAGCCACCAACAGAAGCAAATTTTCGGTTCTGCCATGGCTAAACCGAAGCCAAATTTCGGTTCCCCCGTGGCCTGACCGAAGGCAGGGTTCGGTTCCCCCATGGCCAAACCGAAACCAATTTTCGTTTCGTCCATGGACCAAACGAAGCAGATTTTCGGTTCGTCCATGGCTCAACCGAATGTGATTTTCGGTTGGTCCATGGTTCAACCGAAACCAATTCGGTTGAGAATTTTTGGATTTTAAAAAAAAAAAAAACGAGATTTTTACCTCGTCGGAGTCGCTACTCATTGTTCGGACGTATGCTCGACGATTTCGGCTTCCAAATGTCGATGATGAATTTGAGAGTGTGGGAGAGTGAGTGTTTTTTGCTTTCTAAGTGAAGGTGGTGTTTGTTTGCTAAAGGAAAGGTAAAGATGTTAAAAGGTTAAAAGTGTAACTTTGTTGTTTTTTAGGACGATCATTAGTAATTGTTAGGACGACTTTTATCAACTCCCTTGTATATGTTCGGTTGAATCGTATAGACCCAATCAATTTCCACCATTCATTCACAAAAAAAGTCGAGAATCGAGTGCAAGAAGAAAAGGGCATCTCATAGTTCTTAACAAACCCCCTCAAAAGAAGTTGAGAGCAGAGAGAGAGAGAGAGAGAGAGAGAATGGAATCCTTATCTCCAACGAAGACACCATCACACAAACAGACAGACAGGCTCCACCTCAGCCAAAAAAACTGCCACCAGACCAGATAAATACTAAATAATATTATCGGCGGAAAAATGTATAAAAATAGGGGTAAATAAAATGGAGAAAGATTCCAGAGAATTTTCCAGAATTAATAAAGAACTCTCACTCTCACATGCTGATTTCGGGGTGGGATGCTCGGTCGGTCCGCGGAATCTCTCGTCGGGTTGCAGCGGAATCCAAAACTCTGGTGCGGCCTCTAGCCCTCTACTTCCACCTCGCCTCTTCTTTTCTTCCCCTTTTTCTTTATATATTAATTAATTAATTAATGTTTTTATATTATTTAGGCGGTGGCGGCAACGGACGGCAGACAGTCAGTTGCACTAACAACCAAAAGGAATCTCACCGCTCATTCAT